GGCTGGTGGCCCTCAGTAATGTTGGTGTGTTATTATTAGCCATTAGCCGCAGCTAGCAATTCAAGGATAACGTCACGTTAATGATCATAAACAACATAAATCAATAAATAAATAAATAAATCAGAGAGATGGGGGCCAGCGTGGTGGTATCGATACTTTTGAAAATGAGTATCATATCCGGATACAACGTTTTAACATCAGCACTTTTTTAAGTATTGATACTTTTGACAACCCTAGTGAGTTGATACATCTGGAGTTAGACTGCTTTAGACCAAACGGCCGTCGGTGTGTGAGGACTATGGCCCTCCGACAGAATCTAAACAGCAAGTTTAAAGCTCAGGGGAAAAGCAAACAACGCAGAGCTGAGCTGAAGCTCCGAAGGGCCCAAACTGCGGCGTCTCGGGTCTGAAGCGTCTCACCATAAGGAGCAGACTGGATGGATGTGTGCGCTGATGATTTTGGCTATGCCCCTGGTGAGGAAGTCCCAGATGACGATGCGCCCATCGTTACAGCCCACGGCCAGCAGCGTGCCCCAGCGGTTGAAGGTGCAGGTGAGCGCCATGCTGATGCAGTCCAGGGTGCCATCGGCCTCCTGTCAACAGCCAGAAACAACCCCTTCATCAGAAACTGTCCCAAAGTGGACACATTTTCACCAGCACATCTTTGTGGGGTTTGTGGGTCAAGCCCTGAAATTTGGTGGCTTACCTCTGGATAGTTCTGCCCGAAAGATTCTGCGAGAGAAGCCACAAAGATATTTGTTAAGAACAGCTACAAATATAAAAACATTTGAAATGTGCTATGTAGAGGCAGTCGGACAGGAAGATCAACACTCCGATACCCAGATGTCTCACTCCCTCCACGATAAACAGAATGATGAGAAGTGTAAAGTGAAATCTGTCCAACAAGATGAACTCTATGACTAACATCACTGAACTGGACTATAGGGGATTATTCAGTTTGATTTAAATGGATGGCAACTGGCTTACTGTATATCCTCCCTATATAAATTCAATTTATCTAAATTTTTTATTTATACTCCCAGGTCACAAAGAGCTGTTTAACTGTAAAAATAACTTTTTTACCTTTCTCCCCTTTTATGCAACATAGCAAACACTCTGATAAATAATTCCCCCCCTTTTCCAGAAATAGAGGTCAGATTGAATGAAAAAATTACACTACAATTATTAATAGTAAACAGATTTAAGACCATTCTGCTCAATGAGGGTCCATTTCTATCCTGAGAACCAACAGCTGCTATAGATATTCATAAAACACCAACGCTGACATTATTTCTCTATTTTAGGACTTATTTATCAGACTAACTTCCATCTCCTTCAATTACAAACAGAAAATGTAATTAGTTCCTGCCCGTGGCTTCAAACATTGTGCATGTATGAAACCCGGATGGATAATGTTTTTCGCATCAAAGGAAACGACATTATTTTAACCTTACTGACAAATAACGGCTAACGTTAGCCTACTTACTCTTTTCTACTGTGATTTCTAGCTAAATAACTAAACATCGCCTTATCAAAAAGCAAAAATTATTAGCCAGTTGAGTGTGCAGCCTTTATAAAAGTTAACAATGCGACTGAAATTAGCAACAGATTAATTTACTTTATATAAAACGTAGCTGTTGTGATGCTAAGCTAAAGACTTGTGCTAACCATAATAATAAACAACGTCAGTATTTACGGAGTGAGAGATAACCAGGAAGAATAAAAAATATATTTAGTTTGTTACCGAGCAGTTCCAAATTCATGGTTGGGCGTTTAAGGGTCCAATTTCCCCCCCAAAAGTCAGAGTTTCCTGATTATTTATATCAATTTGGTCGTTTTCATTCACAAACGCTTCGACAGCCGGGAGAGTGGCGCCGACCCTTCTGAATGGACCCCAACCAGCGCGACTGCATATGTGCCTGAACTAAATAAAACACCACTGTTTTAAATAAAATAAAAGTTGTTGTTTTATTTTTGCTCTGCATTTAATTTCACTTTCCATGTAAATTTCTTACTTTGTGCCCTATCTGGTATGTTATATATATTAAAATCCGCACAAAAACTGTGTCCGTGATGATTTGAACTATTTCTGACTCAGGCATAGACGTAGCGGCAGAATTGTTTACGTTTTCCCTTCTGTTGATCGATATATCGATTTAACTTTACAACTTTACCACACGTTTTGCTATGGTTCATTAAATTGTCGGGTTTAATATCTTTCATTGAACCGTAACACTCTACTTTTTCTTGTGGGTCTAGTCAAATTCCTTAAAACGGATATTTGCACTTTAACTGGTGTTTTTCTTCTCTATTGATCAACTTTAGGAATAATCAATCTTTTGAGCCTCTGCACAAAATGTGCATTCAATCTAGTTATCTGTGTTCATTTCTTTGTGTAAAGTTGATCGAAAAAGTGCTTGAAAAAACATACAAGCGTTTTATGTTTGTTTTATTTCATTAATCATGTATTTGTTCCTTTCGTAGTTTAAACTGTTTTTTTCTTTGCTGTGTCAATGACGGTTGTTGCAACATCACAATTCTTTAACTTGAACATCATGTTTATGAGGTTATTTGTGACTAATCTGCGGTTAAAACCACTTTCTCAAACAAAAGTCCGTTTGTCTTCGTCACAAGTTCGCACTTCATGAAGTTTGTAGATTAATAAAGACAGTAACAGACTTCCTAACAGTCCGACCTGCTGCTGATGCAGGAGGATCCGGGGATGGATCCGGACCAGGAGCGTCAACAACCGCCCACAGGCAGTTTCCGGTTTTCACAATAAAAGTCCTCAAAGCTAAGCCAAAAACGACCGGAAAACTCCAGTTTGATCCAGATGAAACAGATGCACTCACGTTCAGATGCTGTCTAAACAAGGAGGGTTTAGAGGATTTATTAAACTGGATCTTTTAGGAAATGGGAGGTTTTTATCTGAATAATAACCTTCTGTTCTGTTCTATTGTAGATGTGGTCGTTGATTATCAGAATCAGAATCAGAAATACTTTAATAATCCCAGAGGGAAATTAGGGATTATGGATTTTGTTTGTTTTTTGTTGAGTTCCACCTGTTTTTATGAGCATCAGGACAGTCCAGGTAGCTTCACGAACAAGGAGATTGTCTTTTTATTGGTTTTGATTTTCCTCTTTTGTATTGACTGAACTTTTCAGCCTCCCTCTATCAGTCCTTATGGAGACTTTGTGTCTTTTTTTAGTCTCAGAGAGCATCAGGAGGAGCTTTAATTCACATGTTTAAATCCACTCTCAGCAGCTTTTTCTGCCCCTTTTGTGTGTTTCAAGTGTAATTTGACCTTTTTACGGTGGTTTTATGTCTTTGTGTGGATTTATTGAATCTTCTTCTCAGTAGTTTTGAGTGATGAATTTCTTTTGGGTTGTTTTAGATTATTTTTTTCTGGATAATTGGTGTGTCTTTCTGGTAAATTAGTCTCTTTATTGTTACATTTTGGTGTATTTCCTTAAACTTCGTCTCTCTGCTTTGACAGCAGCTTGCATTTTTCCTCTGCTGGTTTTAATCAGACTATCTCAAACTAAATCTGGTTTATTTTTGCCCCTTTGTGCCAATTTTATGACAATTCTTGGTTTCTTTATGTGTTATTTTATTTTTTTTCCTGAAAAATGCTGAAATGTGACAATTTGATGTGCTTTTGGAATTTATTTATTATTTTTTCTTGTAGTTTGTTGTCATAAATCAGCTTTATCTGAACTAACCTGATTAGTTTTTCCTGTTTCCATCTTTTAGGTGTAACTTTACAGATTCTAACTGGTTCTGGATGCTTTCTAATGAACACAAAACAAGAAAACATCTTTATTTAGTTAATAAATCTGAGTTATTTCAGAGTTAAAGCCCAAAGAAGAGCAGCTAAAGGTTCCCTTTCCTCCAGAATCAGCTTAAACTTCGTCTCTCTGCTCTGATAGCAGCTTCCATTCTTCCTCTTCTGTTTTTTTTTTTCAGACTTTCTCAAACTAAATCAGGTTGTTTTTGGTATTTTTTCCCCTTTGTGCTGATTTTATGACAATTCTTGCTTTATTTATGTTATATTTTTCCTGAAATGTGTCGATTTGATGTGCTTTTGGAATTCATTTATTGTTGTTTTTTTGTAAATTTGTTGTCATAAATCAGCTTTAACTGAGCTAACCTGATTAGTTTTTCCTGTTTCCATCTCTTAGGTTTAACTTCATAGATTCTAATGAACACAAAATAAGAAAACATCTTTATTTAGTTAATCTCTCTGCTCTGATAGCAGCTTCCATTCTTCCTCTGATGGTTTTTCTCTGGATTATTTAGTCCCTTAGTCTCCAGCTCTTCTTCTTCTGGGTAAAACTTTCTCTGTTTTCAGTCTTTGGATCTCCAAACTCCCACGTGGACATTTCCTCCTCCAGCTGTTGCTTTTAGAAGGAGGCTTTTGCTTTGAATGTCCCACGCGGAAGTTGGGGGGCGCGATGGCGTGCGCGTGGCGACAGCGCGCGTGCGCGTGCGTGTGAGGCGCCACGTCGGCAGAACCAGCAGCACAGAGAGGAGAGCCTCCGTGAGTCCGCAGAAGTTTCGGGTCCGCGTGCGGATGCGCTGACAGAGGTCCGCGCGCACACAGCCGTCCAGCGCGTTCACCCCCACGCGCCCCCCCCCCCCCCCCCCCAAAAAAAAGAAACCCACCAGGTGTCCCCGCCAGGTGAGGCCGGGAGGAGAAGCTCTGCCCGCGATGGTGAAGGTAAGAGTCCGCATCCAGGGTTAGGGCTCACGCGCGTT